TTCATTCCATAAACATTTAAAAAATAAAAATTAGAAAAATCACAAAATATCAAAAGGCATCACTTCAGTATGTGCCTGATAGATTTGCCAAGTTTCGATCAAATACACTGAATGGTTTTCGAATTCTGCCCCGAAAACGAACCCCATCCCCAATTGAGTCTAAGTTAAACTTCATTCCATAAACATTTAAAAAATAAAAATTAGAAAAATCACAAAATATCAAAAGGCACCACTTCAGTATGTGCCTGATAGATTTGCCAAGTTTCGATCAAATACACTGAATGGTTTTCGATTTCTTCCCCGAAAACGAACCCCATCCCCAATTGAGTCTATGTCCAACTTCATTCCATATAAAATTTAAAAAATAAAAATTAGAAAAATCCCAAAATATCAAAAGGCACCACTTCAGTATGTGCCTGATGGATTTGCCAAGTTTTGATCAAATACACTGAATCGTTTGGGAATCCTGCCCCGGAAAAGGAAATGATTACGGACGGACAGACGAATGGACAGGGACAGACAGATTTGCTGATCACTATATCTCCCCGCATTATATGCCGGGGGGATAAAAAGTAAGTGTATGACCTTTTGCCAACTTCTATCCCTGCCCTAAAATTGAGTTTGGCCATTAACAATTTTTTTGTCTGGCTATGACATTGACCTTTGACATAGCTGATCAATGTGTTATTCCAAAGATGTCCAAGCAATGCATGGTTTCATACGATAACTGTGGCTATCAAACTGAGGCAAAATATTTGAAAATCCCCATTTACACATCTGGCTAATGAAACATAAACAACAACAAAATTATCAATTTCTTTTATTTATATGCCTATATCACACATTGAACAGTGTTCACAAGATGGTTCCTGATGCAGTATGCAATTTACTCCTATTCTTCTATACTCGTAACAGAGCGGGATAACTGTTCGCTTGTTACAGTTCAGAGTTACTTGCCTTCAAACATCCTTTTCCTTCTATATTGCCATGGAAAAACAGGAACCAGGATGAGGGGAGGCCAGATGGGCTCTATCCCTGTTGCATTGTGTTAGTAGAATTGTGAACATTCTATTTGGTGTTTGGGTCCACATTTATAGACAAGTTGTCGCAAACATCATTCCTTTCAAGTGATTACCACATGGCCAAAGACAATAATTTCTTCAACGTCCTTGAAGGGTCCCACTCCGACTTGGCATTGGTTGGTCTTCTCACATTAGCCTGACCACCCTTTGTGAGTGTGTCCCAGTGTCAGTTGGCATATAACTTCTTGGTAGGCCCCCATTGAAATAACAGGACTCTCCTTATCGCTGTCTGCCAATCACTTCGGAAATCTGGAAGGGTCCTTCCAGACTGTCAACCGGGTATCTCAAGCTGGACTTCAGTTTCTGCAGAATTATGTATAAAGATTGTAGCAATAAAAAAGAATTGTTGCAACATGTACTTACAGATAAAAGGCAGCAAATTCACTTAATTTATCATCTTTGAGTTTTGTTATATACCAAACATTTGAGATATATATTGTTCCATGCTGATGAGTTGAAACAATCATTAACAGACATCTCTTAAAAATGTTCCTAGCAACCTATGCTTGCCATACAAGCCAAAGTAATAGATGAGGTAGCAAGTGGGCTCATTGATCGCTCGTAATCGTACCCAATAACGTGGGATGTTGTCCGTAACAGTCATCATCGGTGCGTCTCGATCGAGCTCATAACATTAATCACTGGTTTGCCTAGTTGAGATTTGATTATTTATAATCCTTGTCATTTAGCCTAACTATTGCTGGATGAGATGTTAAATGAGTGAATTGGGTTTAACGCCTCTTTGAACAGTATTCCAGTTATCACGGCATGTAAGCTTGATGTGGGAAGAAAGCCCGAAGTGATGCAGGTCTTACATGTTTACCACTTTGATGAAACCCACAAGCAAGTGTATGATGCTACCCTCGATTCAAACCCACGACCATCTGTTTCTGTCAAGCCCAAGAGATGCAACTATGCACAGCAAGTTGTGGTGCCTTTGATAATTAGGCCATCCATGCCAACAGGTGATAAAGAACAAGCAAACTGAAGAAATATTTGCAGAATAGCTACATGAACATGATGAACCAAACAGAATAATTTCAAATATTTACCACTCACTGCTACTCTTCTCTTGTTCCTCATTGCTTCTCTTTTTCCATTGATGCTGTGCAGATGACTGACTCATTCATTCATCCAGACATTCTGCAAACATAAGTAGCATTCACATTAAAGAAATGTCCAAACTGTACATTGAATTCAATTGAAAAGACCCCAGCTGAGATTCCAACTTAGAACTGTCCTTATTAAAATATTTCATCCCAAACATTCAGAGATAAAACATAACTAACCCCATATTTAACAACTGTCAAACAATTATTTGACAACAAAGCCAGGGTCATTCAACATACACTTTACATAGGGAATCACTTGTTGCAAAAAAAGATCCTCGCCAAGGTCGGAGTCATTCCATGAAATATTGAATTATTAAGTTATGAAGCTTATACAAAACAAGGACATAACAGTGTAATTATTAAAATATCATAAGCGTAAAAAAATAAAGTCTTTGGTGGCCATTAATGTAAATTATAGTCTGTATTAGCATCCCACGAAAGTTTAGAGTTAATAATCGTAGATCTTTGTACTTTTCTTCATTATCTATAAAAAGCGGATCTAATTTGGATCATCTTGTTTTGACCACAAATCGATTACGCCCCTTAATGGCCTTATGCAAAGGGGCAAATCCTTGTCGTCATAACAAACAGTTGACCATAATACTAAAAAAAGGACCCTTGGCGTTTACGGTAAAGTATGTAGAGCAGGAAAATATCTAAATCAATCCGTTCCATAAGATATCTGCACAGAAATCATAAGGTCACGAAGCCCTGCTACGTACCTGGCATCCGCATTTGCTGCCAATCGCCTTTCCAAATACTGTTGACTTCCGCGTTGTGAATGGCTCAGGGGAACTTCGGACGGCATTTCCGTGGTGGAGGTGAATGAGAACAATGTATCGATACACGAGGTAAGCTTATCGTAATCAAGCATCACAGTGTATATCGATACAAGAGGTTTGTTTACATCCATGTTCTAAAATGGCGCCCTGGACCGTAGGGGAATATGGGTAAAATGGCTTGTTCCGGGTTAACACTAAGCTGGGCCCCCGTCTCTAATATCACAATATTGTTTGGCGCAAGTTGACGACGCGCATAGGGAGCCGGGAACCAGCTTAACACGACATAAGCTGGTTCCCGGCTCTCTATTTGTTTATTTAGAAAATGGCATTGAAGCATCTGTTTCTGTTTTGGAATGTTCTTGCAAACACCTCTGGTTACTGAACCAATGAAATGTCATAAAATGAATAAATATGATTTTTCATCTTAACAATTTTTTTGTTTTGCTTATTTAAGAAATATGATATTGATCATTCATTACATAGGTGCTAACATATATCAAATATACTAATGCCCTGAATGTTTTCCTACAATTAATACAGCTCACTGAACGAAGTTTTTAGTTCCATGTCAGTAGAAAAATTACATTGATATTCTTATGTACCGGTACTTCATTAGGTGTTTTCTGTGGATGCCATTAGTCTTATGCACCCATTTGGGTTAATGATATTCTGTTTCCAACTTCAATGAAACTCGTCTGTCAAGATGTAACAAGTACTGATACAGTTCCAAAATAATCTTTTAATCTCACCAGGAACAAAGGCCCAAGTGAGCACATAGCCAATGACTTTCATTTTTGTGTCAGAGTGAGTATGGTGTTATGCCACTTTATGCGCAAAATTCCAACAATATCATGATGGGTGACACCAAGCAATGTACTGATGTGGTGAATCGAAGGCTTCAACCACTAGGCTAGAACAAACTGGGAATATGAAGATGAAATGTAAGGATACCATCATACCAGGACTGAATGCTTTTCATTTAATACGCTGAACATCTAAAATGAAATATATATGAACTTGAAAAATGTTTTCACCAAAAGTACATGCCCATAGATCTCAACTTTAAGGGGATATTTACAACTAAAATAGCACAGAATATTACTACAGCTATCTGCTATGCCCAGGCTAACATTATTTACTAGGAGAAAGACATCTTGAAAAATTGCATCCGGATACCTGCCGGATACCTTCAGCAATGTTCAATTTTCTTGGTTAGTTTCCAATATATTTTTAGGTGTTTCACACTTAATTGAACAAAATGCACCCCCCAAATTGTGACAAGTTTTTGGAAATTCAGAATGAGGTATCCGGACGCGTTTTGGGTAAGTGTCCGGTGGTATCCGGCAGGTATCCGGATACCGGAAACTGCATTTTTTTTGCTGTGGGGGTTTAACGTCGCGTCCAAGATTATTGCACTTATATAGCGATGTGCATGTACGTGTGTCTGTTTGTGTGGCTGCTTGTACCAGTCCGGACTGATGCCGATTCTAGTGCTAGCTCCCTGAGATACCATGCTGCAGTTTAACATGAATACCCCACTCAGACACAGTATACTGACTCCGAGCCGACCAGTCCTTGTTTTAGCCCCTTAATGCCGAGCGCCAGACAGGGTAACAACAAGTACCATCTTTTAACGTCTTTTGGTATGACGCGGCCGGGGATCGAACCCCGGACCTTCCGCTCTCCGGGCGGACGCTCTACCACGAGACCACGGAGGCGGTCCGATGAACAAAAGGGCTAAGACAGCATTCTTGTTTGAAGGTCCTGTAGGTTCGAAATTTGTTTCCATTCATATGTCCAGATTCATTCCAGATATTGAAGCCACTCCAATTTAATCCCATTTCAAAAAGGTCTTTCATATTATTGCTCCAACCTTCACTTAGTATCCACTCAGCATTACAACTGCAAAGAAGTTTAAGGATTTTACTTACCCATTAATTGCCTGTGTATGCGGCCAGAAAACCGATGGGTTGACCAGTTTCTGACACAAAGAACATTCGAAATAACTCTGTTTTCTGGGGAACTCAGATGGAGGTCCTACGTTTCCTGGTGTAGCAGATTCGAGGAATTCCGTCCACCTCCCAGATAGTATCTTCAAGCTTTATTCTGGATAACCTGTATTTCTCTGTGAACATTAATTGACCCCAAAACACCCGCTCCAACGTTCCACGCCGTTGGATATTCGTTCGTCGGAGGTCGTTCTGACGTGACCCGTAATGGGATGTCCTCAGATCTTTGTTTAGCGATAGCGAGAACTAAGATATGATTTTAATGAGATTGGTTTCAACTCGAATACACTACCTAGACAATTTATTCTATAGTTTAGCTCATTATTTTTGTGGATTATTTTCATGTTTTGGCGGATAATAATTTACAGTCTGCATTGATGAAGGTGTACATCAAATCATGCTATAAACAATGTACAGTAAACTACGGTTATAACGAACACGCTTATAACGAACTGACGGATAAAACGAACTTACTTTTTGGTCCCGACTGCTTGCTGTAGTCATGCTGTATATGTACTTATAATGAACTACGGTTATAACGAACTAAAATTAGTAGTCCCTTTGAGTTCGTTATAACCGTAGTTTACTGTAACTAGAACTCTATTCGGACAGAGCCGAGACATGCTTGATACAACAAGATCATAACATCCGTGACAGCAAGAGTAGCTGGAATGGAACGGAAATGCTATTTTGTAAGGATCTAACCTCTTTCATAATTACTGAATGTTAAAAGTCAGATTAAAGTAAACATCATTCACCTGATGAAGAAGTAAGCATATACCCCGAAACGTTGTGTTCCTCATAATAAAGAAGTTGAAATCCATAAATTCTTTTCCTTATGGGTATCACTTCTAAATGCCTTTCAAAGACCTAAAGTAAACTTACTGATATATCTTCCAAGTTCGTATTTGTAATGGAATCAGTTTCAAGAGTACCCTTGTTAAATTCACATTTTTGAAGTATTCCTGTGAAAAATAAAAATAGTTCCATCTTCGCAAATGTTTCTCCAATACATTTCCTCCTTCCTGCGGAGAAGGTCATCAACTTGCTGTAGGTACTGGGGCTCACCTTACCATTGCTATCAAGAAACCGCTCAGGTATGAACTCTTCTGGGTTGTGCCAATCTGTTTGATCCAAATGCATGGCGTGAACATTAAAGAGGACTAATGTGCCTTTTTTTATGTCAGAGCCGCACAGAGAGGTATTGCGGAGAGTCGAATGTGGCAAAATCACGCCTTCTCTTGGCCTGAATCGGAGAGCCTCCAAAAGAACAGCTTCAGTAAAGGGCAGACTGAGGTGATCCTTCCAGCTTGGATGTTGATCATTGCTTACAACTGAGTGAATCTCCTTTCTAACTCTTTGCTGGACATCTGGATACTCCGCCATTAGGATCAATGCATTTGCTAGAACATTCAGAGGCGGGAATGTAGCAGCCGCAACTATGGCATTTATTGACAGAAAAATCCCATTTAATATATTTTCTGAAAGATTTTCGGCATTTTCCTGACACATTTTACCAAGGTGATGTGCAAAGCATTCAGAATTTTCCTGTGTGTTGATCACTTGTTTCATTTTAGTGGCATGGTTATCAGAAATGTGTTTCAAACCGGTGCGCAAGTTTCTTTCATATGCTGGCAGAAAGTATGAAAACCATGGCATGAAGTTAATGAAGTGAAACAAGTTATTCCCAATGGGAAAAATTGGAAGCTTTTCATATAACTGGAGCATGTGAAGAAAGTCGCGATTGGTATGAATGTTTGCCGACCTTCCATAGCAGACTTGGTAGATGATACTGAACACAGAGCGTCTTAGATCATTAACGAGATGCGTAGAAATGCTTGAATGTACCCTTGCTTCCAAGTGTTGTACTTCACATGTGATTAGTTCTTCGATGGTTCCTCTGGAAGTCTGGACGCACCTATTCCAAGCGGTTACTATAGTTTTATGTTGAAGTTTCCATGACTCACCAAATGGGAGAAATGAAAAATTTGAATTCTTTGGCAAGATATTCCGAAGTTTGAATTGTGGTCTGTCTGCATAATCATCTCCCTTTCCAACGAGGGCTTCCCTGGCTAGTTTTCTGGAGTTGATCACAACGACGTCCTTCATCCCAAGCGACAGACGGAATACAGGACCATATTTATTTCCCAATCGAGTCAATGTTAAATGAGGCTTCTCCCCAAGGAAAGGGAAATATCCTACAAGAGGCAGACACCATGGGCCAGGTATCGCCTTGCTTCCAGAACTCAGCCAAAACGTTCTGTACATGTAGATGGTAAGGCTTGCCAAACAGAACGTGATTAACACAGGGAGGTTGTAAAACGCCGCAAGACAATTTGTCACCCCGTGAACCCCTTCATCCATTCTGGTGATGCTGGAGATTCAGAGACAAAACCTGAACTTTGCTGAGGTTAGACACACACTGGGGCCAGGTGAGCGTGGAAACAACACCGACGTGACGGCATAATGAAATGCGTGACATCAACATCAGATATGTGAATATATAATGAGGAAATGTCACATCTGGAACGGACATGTCTCCTCTGTAACAAAATACAAGGATGCTTCATCTGTACTGATACTGATCTGCGTTGATACAGTTCACTGTTCAGGATGCTGGCTTGTTTCATTATGTTCTCAACCCTTTTAATGTTCATGTTAATGAGATACAGACATTGCAGCTTTGCTGATGTAGGAGAGATACTAAACTCACATTTGCGTCAAAAAATCAAACAAGGGGCTCAGTGAAAGACTTGCAAATCTAAATAGTTTTTAAATGTATCTCGTACAGGCATGAATATTATAATTTTGGCACTTCTGAAATATTCAAATTTCTGTTTTTGATCTGTTCAGATTGAAATATCGCCCCTAAATGAGTATGTACGTTCAATGCCAATTGACCGTGCATAATGACACAGGTTGGTTAACTGTGTTCGTAGCAACACATTGAATACGCACTACCATTGATGTTCTGTTCACTGAAACAATTCACGTGCAGCGTGTTTCTTATCTCACCACCTTTACCATAATGTTTAATATATGAAAGGCCAACATCGTAATACCCATGGAAGGGAGCCCACGGGGATTCCAGGATAGAATAGGCCTCCAGCAGCCTATACTGGTTGTTTGGACCAGGCAATCCAGGTCTTGACAACGTGAGCATTGATCTACGCCACTAGGATACTGAGTGAGTGAGTATGGTTTTACGCCGCTTTTAGCAATATTCCAGCAATATCACGGCGTGGGACACCAGAAATGGGCTTCACACATTGTACCCATGTCGGGAATCGAACCCGGGTCTTCGGCTTGACAAGCGAACGCTTTAACCACTAGGCTACCCGACCGCCCCGTCTAGGATACTGTACCATCAACCAAGCCAATCAATGTTTGTTCTTAAAGCACTGGAGGCCACAGACCCTTCCACAGCTACATCATTGCTGGAGAGTAACGGAATATATACATTGATATATATTGTTCACACATATGATTGTCTCAGTTGCATAAAATCATATGCACATTTTCAAAATTTTTAACAGTTTCCTGATTTTTTAGTGAGTTAATTTCATGTACTGTTTGTTATCAGTAGTATTTTGGGGATATATACAAACACTTGAGACTGTAGTAAACATTAACAAACTCACCAATACAATATGGTATTGTGGTATTCAACTTATGTATCTGTGTTGTATGTACATGAAGTGATGAAGTTCGACACCAGCATCATTCAATGCTCCAAGCACTTGAATTTGCCTCTTTGAGCTCTCGATCGTGAGACAATTGAGAATTGTTCCAGTCGGAGATTCCCTATCAAAAATACTTCCGATAAAAAAACACGAGAGAACGCTTTAACCACTAGGCTACCCCACCGCCCTTATCCAACTACTAACACGTAATGAATTTACCAAATCGATTTCACACTTTGCACTCGGTACTGTAACTCAACTGTGACGTGAGAAGCAAGCGATGTTACATCAAACAGTATGACGTCATACAAAGCCGCCCAGCCGACTTGTATGTGTTTTCACAAGATGCCAACTGGTCAATCAGATAGCTAGATATATATTCAAATTTTCATGAGTGAGTGAGTTCGGTTTTATGCCGCTTTTAACGTATTGCTAGCAGTATCGAGGACCCCAGAAATTGTCTTCACAGATAAGAACCATGTGGGGAATCAAACCCGGGCCTTCGGCGTCACGAGCAAACTAGGCTACCTCACTGCACCCTAAGTTTCACGGAGAACATTGAGAAGGTGTACGATTTTGGCATGGATTTGACGCACTCCCTATCCTTGATCTTCTTTCCATGGAAACGCAAAAACAAAACAAAATTTTGAACATTAAGAATAGTTCAGAGCTGAACGCTCGCAATAAAGTCAAAACCACAAATACTTATGCTGTACCCGTCCTGGTGTTATTGGTTTGATGAAACAAGAGGTTCAGAGTATCAAAGAATCATGTCAGACAACAGATCCAGCCACCCTCGCTCAGGACCAGTCACTTCCCAATCGAAATCCACAATTAGTGATTTTGTATCAAAAAAGAAATATGAAATGTAGATTATGTAATGAATTTAATGGGACTGTCCAACACATTGTCAGTGGATGCCAAGCTTTGGCACAAACACAGTATCTTAAGTGACATGATGGAGTGGCTCGATCATTTTATTACCGTCTTCGCCATGCTTGTGGTTTTGACACAGTGGTCTATCCGTGGTACGACCCGGAATATGTAGAGGGCGTCATGGAAAATGATAAATACAACATTCTTTGGAATAACCCCGTATACAGCCTCAGACATATCCAGGCCAACAAACCTGAAATCATTCATATCATTGCCAATTTTGTCCCTTTAGACACTAATGTGCTTGACAAGATTCAGGAAGAACATGGCAAATATGCGGACCTCGCTTTCAAAATGTAACGCTTGCATCCTAAGTACCAAGTTGTCCGACTACCTTAGGTTTGGTACCTCCCAATCTGTTGACTGACATCGGGAGAGTACCCGGGTTTCCTACCAGGAATACAGCCCTTCTGACAATCTTGGCATTGCAGAAGGCTGCAGTGTTGGGGAGTCTTCACATTCTCTGAAAAGTTCTGGTTGGGTTTGACTAGGCAGCGCTTCCTGGGAGAAGTCGCATTCGGTGTCTGGGCTGCGTGTAGAGTGGGCAAGTGCCCTGAGATGATGATGAGCCTAACCAGCCTGACTGTGCCAGGATCACCCAAACCCTCTTTGCTGCATTTTTTATTTTAATCTGTACATAATAATACCTTAATTATAAAAATCCACCATAAAGGCACGTAAATAGAGGTTATCACGCGAGTGTGTTTGGGGATGGTAAATATCCTGCATTAGGAATAAACATTGTATTTAGCGAGCCTTGGCGAGCTAAATACATAGTGTTTATTCCTAATACAGGATATTTACCATCCTCAAACACACAAGCGTGATAACCTCTTTATCATATAATGTCATTCTTTAATTCTGTGCTTCAAAATCGCTTTCCCTCTCTCACAAACATTAACCGAAACATTGCGAGTTTTCCTGGAATGCGCGCATTGATATTTATTACGTCACAGGGTAGGTGATGTGTCAGTCGGACAGTGACAGTAGCCAATATAGTTCCAACTGAAATCTATTTCTTATGCAGTGGCGAAGCAACATAAACGCAAAACAACAATTGTTTTTAATTGCCTTTCGCGGCAATCCATCGGTCTGTCCGCTAGAGTAACTGCCCTTTGTCAAAGGGAAGCTACTCTAACCCTAGTCTATGAGACGTCACGGCCACGGTCAGACGTTGTTGACAGTCGGTCTGTCCTGTCATAACGTAAGAAGTGTAGTCAGATGTACACACAGCGACAAAACGAAACAAGGTAACAATTCAAATATATTTCGGCCAAATCCAACTATTTTAATTTGTGGAGCAGGTTTCAAGCCGCAGAGATCTACAAGCACAGATATGGCTACTGATCCCGCTTCGCTAGGCCTCGTGCCCTCGAAAAATTGTTTCGAAATTTATATCTCCAAAGTTGCCAAAACTTATAAAATGCCTTATCTACGTCACAGTTAGACACTGATTTTCAGTATATTAGACTGTGCTTTTGATAATGATAGCAATTATCCCTGTAGTTTATCCAGATTCCCGATGGTTAATTCTGACTCGATCGCCGAATGACGAGGGCGACGCCATGATTGTTTATGAACAGTGAAAGTAGTCCCTACTTGACCTTTGATATTTGCATCTCTATCCGCATATGACCCCAACGGATATCGTTTTTATCCGTTGGCTTTATCCTGCTGAGAAACCTACCCATTATATGATAAAGAATCGGAAGGGACCCTGACCAACTGATGATTGTCCATGAAAATCTGCTGATACAGTGATCGTTATGAAACCTTGTAGACGCACGCCACTATCGGTACATAAACATAGGCCGTGTCAGGTTATCAGCCAAGGCCGTGCTGCCGAGCTATTTCCGCACACAACAGCGTTCTAACTTAATGATGACCTCGCTGCCATTGCAGATATAACGCTTTGGGGTATTTACTTGTTCTGAACATGATGGAAGTGTATTCTTGCCGTCTTCCTTTTTGTTTTGAGTGAGTCAAAATATATTGAGCGAGTGAGTATGGTTTTATGCTTTTTGCAATAGTCCAGCAATGTCACAGAAATGGGCTTCACACATTATACCCCCATTCGGGAATCGAGCCCGGGAGGTAGGCGTGACGAGCGAACGCTTTAACCACTTGGCTACCCTGTATGCTTTGAGTGGGTCCTACACTTTAATAAACCATGACGCTGATGTCACGCTATTATTGCAGCGGAGCCAGGACTTAACTGGCAATTCTCAACGTGCATTTTGTGCGAGTAAAACAGACGCGACAATTGCTCATTATGAAAAATAATAGAGAAATTATATATCAGCTTTAACATGGTTAAGGAGAAATCGCTCGGGTCGGTTGCTTCCGGAAGTTGAATCACCAGATTCAAGTGATTTCTCCGTTACGGTGTTTCAGATTTGCTCACCTCACTAGGTTTAAATTTGTGGAGATGTGTGCACTGCACTGCATCGTGTCATATATCAAGGGGCGTATATGCACTGTGGTATGTGGGTCACTACCGCCGACTTGTTTGCTGTATGCATATGACATACAAATGGCCTTTGTGCTCATAGTCTACCCGGGTGGGTTCTTGATTAGGATAGGCCCCAGAAACCGATGATTGGATATTGATGACTGAGGCGTTATGTTGTAAATACTAACCACGTGTGCACATACTTCTATAGCTTAGACAGTTTAATCCAGGTCAATGTCCATGAGGTACATGTGACTGTGTGGTAGATGTGATATACTACGTATACTTTAGGTTGCGACAGGCTGCAATGACAACAGCGAGAAACGGGGTAGGTTACTGCTATTTCGTATACCTTATTCAGCTGGAGTCTTTTTAATACCATGGTCGAGTAATCTTGGGGAACGATAATTGCTGTACACAACTGTATGTCTTTGTATGCGTGCGTGCGTGCGTGCGTGCGTGCGTGCGTCTGTCTGTCTGTCTGTCTGTCTGTCTGTCTGTCTGTCGGTCGGTCGGTCGGTCGGTCGATCGATCGATCGATCGATCCGTCCGTCCGTTCGTGTTTGTGTGTTTAACACCGCAGTCACCAATAGCCCATCTCTATGACAGCGTTCTGCAAATAATCGAATGAATCCAGAAATCCAATGATTGATATTAGAGCAATGACCCACGCCAGTTAGCAAGTCACCGGACCTGACCAGCCGATCGATCAAGTCGCCTCTTCATACCAGCATTAGTTGGGGGATACATTTAACCAGGGATCCTCGCGGGTTCTTAATTTAGGACCATCATTGTGGACCTAGGAATAATTTCCACCTGGGTCCTCAACAAGGGCCATGTTAAGAGCCTCCCGTGCCCCTAATATGCATTTATCACACGTTCGGCGTGCCAAGGATGCATATATGCTACAGTCAATGCCTATAATCAGGCAATATGTATATTGGCTGCTTCTCTTACACGCATGTTGGTTTGTTTGTTGTTTAACGCCGCACTCAGCAATATTCCAGCTATATGACGGCGGTCTGTAAATAATCGAGTCTGGACCAGACAATCCAGTGATTAATATCATGAGCATCGATCCACGCAATTGGGATCGATGACATGCTTCAACCAAGTCAGCGAGCCTGACCACCCGATCCCGTTAGTCGCCTTTTACGACAAGCATCGTCACCTTTTACGGCAAGCATGGGTTGCTGAAGACCTATTCTACCCCGGGACCTTCACCGGTCCACACGCATGTAGATACTGAACTGTTCGAGGACATAACTTAGAAGTTGACGGATGACAAAGTGGACACAATTTATGGATAACAACTTCTTTAATACTGCAAAGACGACGTTTCGGTATAGATCCTTATACCGTTGTCAACCCTTTAAAGAAGTTTTTATCCATTACTTGTGTCTACTTTGACATGTACATAATGATTGAACGTTTCAGTCGATTTACATTTGCTTAAAAATGAGGCTGTTTTAAACAGATTGACTGAAATAAATTAGACTCCTTAATTTAATCTACTCGTTTTCATTTTTCTTCTATTTTGATCTCACGATGACCAGAGTAATTGATTGGTTCTTCAAACATGAAAGACTCTTGAGTCCATTGTTTATGTTACTTATGTGAAATTTCCATGATCATAACATGTATTTCTTATAGACATTGACTGTAAAATATATACATGTAAAACATCATTTCTTCTTTATTTCATTTTAATGTCAGAGACCACCAACGGTGATACACGAGCGAAATAAAATTTGCAATATATTGATATAAACAATTCACCAAGATGGTAGGTATTTAATTTCAGACCGACAATAAATCGCGACACACTTTTCAGGTTTCTAATAATATTATTTGTCAGCATTTTTCTAAATTGGGCCACTTTCTGTATTCTACACTGTAAGGGTAAATCTGGGTAGTAACAGTGCTTCATATTTAAACAAGATGTGGACTTCGTCACCGACTTAGCAAACATAGCTAAGACTCACTTACAATTATGTTTTGCAGGCACAACGTTAGATGATGAAATATGAAGTTACGTCATGCATACGGAGGTGTTGAATTCCTAGCGTCACATTCTTCTTGGTTGTAGTAACAGATATGAGTGTCTCTTGGACTAAAACATCCTTCCTGCTTCCAAACACGATGAGAGAAAATCATGACGTTGTATTAAACCACAGGAACATCTACAAGCATTTGCCTCTTCTGTGGAATAGCTGTGTTGTCTTGGATCATGCCCTGTCTTCATATACCTACGGTAGAAAATATTCTCAAACTGTAACATAGTCACAACTGTATGTCTGGTGGAGACGTTCAACGTCAGCTACATCTGCAGAATGTCTGGACAAAGTCTGCAGAATGTCTGGACAAAGTCTGCAGAATGTCTGGACAAAGTCTGCAGAATATCTGGACAAAGTCTTCAAACACTGTACACTACAGTGGTACAGAAGCTGGATACTGTGAGTGGACCAAATCCGGAGCAATGCGATGCCTGTTGGAGTCGCACGTTGAAGTCAGATGGAGAGTTTCAGTGTATTGATTGTTATGACGTTCTTTGTAAGCCTTGTTCGACAGGACACCAATCGTCCAGTGCCACATATTCTCACAAAGTTGTACCCTTAAGGGACATCAGAGAAGGGATACATTGTGTCAGAAGTCCACGTTGTGTGTCAATCCCGTGTCTCGACCACCCTGGGGCTTTATACAAATACCTGTGTGGGTCGTGCATGGTTCCCGCATGTGATAAATGTGTTCTTGGTCAGCACACCGCAAATACATGTACTGTTCATCCTCTGGAAAAGGCACTGGAAATATGTAAAACCAATCTTGAAGAGTCGAAGGACATCATGGACACTGTTTTGTCATCTTTATCTTCATCAGTTACCCATCTGGACCAAAGGAATACATTCCTTGTTAAGGAACGTGATCAGTCAATTCAACAACTTCATCAAAAAGCACAATCACTTGTCGAACAAGTATTGACTGAGGAAAACAAATGTGTAAAGAAGTTAAACGATCTTTACAATTTGCAGATTGGCTCTGTTGAATTAGAGTCAAGAGACATAAAGGATAAACTATGCGCTGTCAAAGACCTAAAATGTTTGTCTGAAGAAGTCCAGGAAGAAGGTAACAGTGTTCAGGTAACTATTTTATCAAAGTCTTTGACGAGCTGTAAGGAAGAACTTCGATCCTTCAAAACGCTACCTTCTCTAAAGAGACATAAAATCTTCACAGTTGAGTGTAGCCTTCTCGAAAAAGAATCAATATTTCTGATACCTGAGCTGAAGTCCAATACAGAATCGATGTGCTCGCCTGATACCCATTGTGACAGAAAAACAGAACAATCGGATAATGAAGATCACAACGTTAGAAGCCATTCTCACTTGCCTGCAGAGGAGACAACAGATTCCGCCTCTGGTGAAATCATCAGCATAACTGCTTCCATGGCTTTCACAGGAGGTTTAGGGAGCGCCTACTTGAAACAGAAATATGGCATAATCTTGGAGGAAAACGGCACAATAGATGGTGACGCATCCATTGAAGATACCGCTGAAGATCCTGTCCTAATGGACAGCAAAACAGTTGCCAATGTACCTACCTGGCCGTCACATGAATATCTCATGGCTAAATCTAATCGTAGGGGTATGAACTATGATCATGCAGGTCTATATCCCCCCCATGAAGACAGTGTGCTATGTCTCCAACCATATCCAAATAGCACAAATACACCTCAGATAGGCTTCGGGAACCCAAACATCTGTGGACTTTCCACTCTGCCAGTGTCTTTGAAACCGCATCAAACTATATGCCTCTCGAACCATCAGAATCAGGCCAAAACAGATGTCAGTGCTCTGTCTGTAGGAGACGATCATATACTTGTCGTTGACCGGGATAGCAGGACTGTCAAAATGGTTGATGGGAGCTATAAACTAAAGGACACATTATACATAGATGAGTTGTCCGCTCACCCACATCACTCACTGGCAGTCATAAGTAATCATGTTGTGTTTGTGTGTGGAATGTATGTACATGTTACTGATCAGCACCTGACACTACTGCGGAGCTTCCAACTCCTGCAGGATCAGTATCAAGGAGAAACATACCTTCCCCTGTGCAAGTTCAGTGACAAATCCTTTATCATAGGCAATTTGCCAGGATCACTTCTTCGAATTTATAACATTCTTGGACAGCTTGAAGCGGAGGTCATGTCACCACTCCGGGGTGCAACTGTGGCAATCGCTCAGAACAACCATGGTCACCTATTATTCAGTTCCTGGGAGAAGGGTGGCTTAGTCCTTGAGGTCCAGAAGGACCTTCAGGTCGTCCGAACATACAGGCCCTATGGCGTACCGTTGTGGTACCCTGAAGACATAAGCGTTGACCATACTGGAAGAGTATTCGTCACAGACCCTGTACTAAACCACATCCATGGTTATAATTCAGTTGGAATTCCTCTTTTTATGTACTCTACAGCAAACGACGGGCTTCTGTTTCCAAGGTGCATTGTTGTGAAGGATGATACGTGCGTTGTGTCTGGCAAGCATGGAAACATAATATTGTACAAGATAATATATGTTCAGCTGAGCTAAGACGTAAATCGTGGGTAGATTGAAATGCTTTGTAAGGAATTTTAGGGTACGAGCACAAACTGTTCGCATTCAGCAATGCTCCAGTTATCGGCTTCTAAATAATCGGATCTGGACCAGACAAACCAGGTACATTCCATTGGACGAGAGATCGGTCACAAAACCGCAAAACTAACGTTCATGAGTGTATCGCCAACACATGTTGACGTTCATACTTATTTCACGAGACTGTATTCTTGAAATGACGTAAGCACTGACGGACTACTTCCACGTTCCTGGAATTCCCCAGCACAAAAACACATGGAAGCGTTGTCTGTGATCATTTAGACCATGTAATCTTGAACTCAGCGTTTTAAGCTAGGATAAGCCAGAGAATTTGACTGCATGATCGTTCACAAATATCCTCCATCTTAGTGATCAAAACGAAGAAATGCACATCAAAACTACAGTCTACAGTAATCTATGAACTTTCCTTAGTATGTATTGGACACATCTTTACAATGACCCTTCGATGATCGGCCAATTGATCAGTGATGACTGACACGAGTACTTGTAAGCGCCACAGATTCAGGAACAACTTCGGAAATCTTTCCAGACCCGTTAAGATTCGGGTAGAATTGGTCTTCAGTAACCCATGCTTGTCGTAAGAAGCGACCAACGGAAACGGGTGGTCAGGCTCACTGATTTGGTTGATGCATGTCATCGTATCCCATTTGCGTAGATCGATACTCATGAGGAAAATATCACTGGATTGTCTGGTCCAGACTCGATTATTTACAGACCGCCGTGATATAGCTGGAATATTGTTTAGTGCGGCGCTGAACAACGAACACACAAACAGACGGAAATATCTCCCGTCACGTTTATTGTGTCGGCCATTTTGACGTCTTGTACTTGATGTATATGTATGACGACTGACATTGTGACTGACTTACTGGGGGTAGTTCTTAACAGACCTTTCTCTACTTATGATGATATTATGTGACTATATTTGTTGTAAACCGACTACAAAGATGTCAGTGAAAAAGTCGTTTTCACTTGTTTTTTAAATGTTACAAACTTTTGTTAGCTTCGCAGGGACTCCGCAGGAATTTTGTAAAATGTCTGCATAGCTACGCATACACGCCTGCGGAGCTCCTGCGGAGAATCAGAGAAGCTAATTGCCCCTTTAATGGGACCAATTAGTTTTATTACCCCCGGGCGTCGGCAAAACCGTGATGTTGGAAGACAAGTTATGCATGTTCATCTTATATGGTGAGTGAGTGAGTTGCCTTTAACGCAGCTCTTAACAGTATTCCAGTTATATCACGGCGTTCCAGCTTAATGTGGGAGGAAAGCCCTAAGTGATGCAGGTCTCAGACGTTTACCACTTCGGTGAAACCCACGAGCATGGGTAGGTGCTGACAAACCTAGAAACATATTTGGGGCGAACAGGGATTCGAACCCACAATCATAGGTTTCTGGCGTGCCCAAGGGACGCAGCTCAGCACAGCGAATTGCGGCGCCTTAGACGACTGGGCCACCCGTGCCCCCTTACAGTAAAGATGAAGGATGACAATATTCTGTGAAAAAACACTGTAGAAAACAAGACAATGACAATGTAAATAAAGCATATATATAATAAATTACGTTAATAAAGCATACCGTATTCGACGTAATAAGCGCCCGGGGCGCTCTCAAAATTAGAAATAAGGGGTTCTTATTTGAATATTATTTTGGTGAGAAAAAAACAACAACAGAGTTGAAAGATTGTAAATTTCGTAGTTTATGCTGACAGCCTGAAATGATACAAAAGAAAAGTATGTGCGTACACACACGACAGATATATTTTCCAGAATTGAATTGCCCATAATTAAGGGTGCAAATAACATACGAGGGCGTATTATACATGAATAAATAAGTCTTGTGTACATTGATCAATCGTAAGGGGTGCTAATTGGGATTGTTCACTAGCCAATATATCAGCAAATATCGCCGTGGGCGCTTATTAGAGCGGGGCGCTCATTACGTCGTATACGGTATATATACTACAACATAAATCGTTCTTATCGTTATTAAAAATAGAGGTGCCGTTTTCGCCCGACAAGCTGTTTTCGCCAAATGAGTTGCTGTTTTCTTCTGAGAAATCGGTGCTGTTTTCTTTTGAGAAATCGGTGCCGTTTTGCTGAGGTGCCGTTTTAGCCTGCATCCCATTCTTGCTAAGTCAGCAAGCTGCTTCCTCGTATTCCAGTCTATGTCGAGAAATGGTAATGAGAGTGAAATGTCTACGTAGTCTCGATAAAAAATAAAAAAAAGACAAAATATTTTGATTATTATTTAATGTTTTGTTTAAAAGAAGACCTCTTGCAGATTCGACCCTGTCTCTTCAAAAAGAAAGTGCGGTACTATCTTTGTGTTACTTTGACTACGACAAACAGAGTGGCGTCCCTTGGATAACAGGAAGCGACCGAAAGTAGCCAAGTTTTCGGAGTCTGCAATGGGTAATAATATTCTCAAATATTCGTCCAAAGTACGCAGCAAAAGCAGGAAGGGATACATGAGTAGAGCGTCTCTCGGTGCAAATCCGGTTTATTTACGCTGCATTTCACCAGGAGGATACTCACGTTGTTTCAGACAGTCACTGCCGGTGCTGGTTACATTCAGACGGACTGGACATTGGTCGCCAAGGCAAGAGACTGTCCCGTGTACCGCCCATACAGACTCTCACTCTTGCTTCGCTGACCAGTCACTGACATGTTTTAGTTAGCTTTTAGTAACCTTTTGGCAGGGCCAATTTTACCTGTTTGCTATAATTATCAAAGCTATCTTTTGGATCAACAGGGTAGGGAAAAATGAACTTTCACATTTACGTTTTCAATCCAAATGGTTAGGGTTAGAATATTTTCTTTTACCATTTCGTGATTTTGAGTCAGTAAACGGGTCAACTGCAGTATTTGGATCCTCCCCCTTTACCCCCCGTATTCTTCTTTAAAAATGTCATAAAGGTGGGGTTGTACCTGCCTCGAACCCCGCTGTTTTGTCCGCCCAACAAAATATATTGTTCAAGTAACAGAATGAACTTACCGTCGTGCGATTTATTTGAAAAAGGGGGGTGTAACCCCCCTTTACCCCCCATTTTTACTTTAATATTTCGACAAGGGGGGACAAACCCCCCTTGTACCCCCTGTGTGTTGTCTGTGTAAGAAAATACTGTACTGCAGACAGCGTCCAGTAGAAAAATGGCGGCCAACAAATCCTCTCGCTTCGACCGTAAATAACGAACTGCGCATGCGTGGAACGTTTTTCATTGGACAACTTCCGTAAACACGTAAAAACGTTCCTTCCGAAGTGGGGACCCAAATACTGCAGTCTACCCCAGTAAACTAGGGTTTTCAACAATAACTATCACCTGGGCTCAAAACTAGCGTCCGAGGGGACGTCCGGGTTTTGATCCCCAGCTGCGTCATACCAAAAGACGTTAAAAAATGGTACTTGTTGTTACCCTGTCTGGCACTCGGCATTAACGGGCTTAAACAAGGACTGGTCAGCTCGGAGTCAGAATACTGTGTCTGAGTGGGGTATTCATGTTAAACTGCAGCATGGTATCTCAGTGGGCTAGCTCTTTAAATCGGCATCAGTCCGGACTAGTACAAGCAGCCACACACACACAGACACACGTGCATGCACGTCGCTATATAAGTGCAATAATCTTGGACGCACCGTAAAACCCAATTTCACCTCCTTTACAATCACCTTACGATGATTGGCCATTTGAACATCGATGACTGACACTTATATACCCAGAGGTTCATTTGCAAATTAAAAAAATCTCTCCTGTTTTGTTTATCGTGTCGGCCATTTTGATGTCTTGCACATGACGTGAATGTACTATGATGCGCTGGCATTGTGACTGACTTACTGAGGTAGTTCTTAAAAGACCTTTCCCTACTTATGATGATATTATGTGACTATATTTGTTGTAAACAAACTACAAAGATGTCACTGTAGAGCAATGTTAGCATACATAAGCTCATGTCACCTCTCTTATTGAGGAACTACTTTGCACGATACAGCTGGTTGTTGCATTGCTGTCAGTGTTAACATGAAGTCACACATACTAAATATAAGTGACCGCCTCCGTGGTCTAGTGGTAGAGCGTCCGCCCGAGAGAGGAAGGTCCGGGGTGCCATCCCCGGCCACATCATACCAAAAGACGTTAAAAGATGGTACTAGTTGTTACCTTGTCTGGCGCTCGGCATTAAGGGGCTAAAACGAGGACTGGTCGGCTCGGAGTCAGTATACTGTGTCTGAGTGGGGTATTCATGTTAAACTGCAGCATGGTATCTCAGTGGGCTAGCACTATAAATCGGCATCAGTCCGGACTAGTACAAGCAGCCACACACACACGAGTGCATGCATGTCGCTATATAAGTGCAATAATCTTGGACGCGACGTTAAACCCCATTTCACCTCACCTCACTAAATATAAGTGTGTATAGATCTAGGTCTACATTCCTTGAGCTAAAAATATTGATAAAAAAAATAGAAGAATTTACTTCCACTTTGTGTAAGTTTATTGCTGCATTAGAAATAGGCACTAGTCCTGTAGTCCTTACCGAACTGCCCAATAGTTAAGGTGTCATAAGGACTAGTAGACATTTGCCATTTTTAGGGTTTTGCTTTATGTTATCATGATAAGGACTAGTGGTCTAAAACTGTTAGTTTCTTTCTCTTCAGGGGGTCTCAAAGTGAAGAATTTCATGCAGTGTTAGTAATGGGCACTCGTCCTGTAGTCCTTGCCAAACTGCCAGACAGTTAAGGTATCATAAGGACTAGTAGAAATTTGCCCTTTTTTAAGATTGTGCCATATGTTATCATTATAAGGACTAGTGGACTAAAAGGGCTAGTTTCTACTGCTTCATTGGAGTATGAATGTCAGGCATCAAGGAGATATTTCTACACTATTGGATTTAAGAAAACAGAATCTACTCCCTAGCTAGTCTGGGCCTGATTTGACATAGTGATCTTAGCGCTAAGTCTGATACTTTAACATAGGCTTGTGACAGTCATAGTCAAAGATCACTTTGTGGAGCAGATCCCTGACTCTCATACGATCTTGATAGCTAAAACTATATTAACATTAAGTTCAGACTATCAGCTGAATCCCTGACCACTCGTCTGAACTTGATACAGACCAATGACCAAAGGACAAGCAGCTGACACCGATATAAGAACATTCTCAACATTTACTCCATCGACACAGCTGCAGATATGCAGCATATTTGCATAAATTACTTTCCATTAACTTGCGTACAGAAAGCATGCATCAAATGAAAAACTCAAATGTATAAAAGCAGCTCGCGTAAATGCCCAATGAAGCTTTTTCAGCATGCATACAAAGGAGCTAATTTCCGAAACACAATTACCAGCTAATTTACTTTCCAAACCAAGCCTATATATTTAGAACAGTTACATACATCTAAAACATTATTTCATGTTTTTTAAATCTTAAAATGTTCACTAATTTTGGGAAAAAACCAATAGAGTGATGACTAGATGAGTGAAAAAATATTGGTTAACCAATGAAAAATGTGATAACCCAATTAAAATAGAAACTCAATTTCTCAAAAGTTATCTGGAGCTCTGCGACAATAACATTTCATCATCATCTTCATTTTATGTCATTTGCCTTGTTGGCTGCCTTAAAAACTTAAATTGGTGGACTGCTGCTGATAGGTTTGACGTGGGGCCTGGATTTTTCACATCATATTAACTTGATGTATACTTCTCTTGTAAATTAATTCTTTTCTCAGTCTCAAATTCAAATACACAGTTATTTTGTTACTTGACTAATTGATATATATTTACTGCAGCTTGACTGATGAGAACGACAGAAGGGTTTGAAGATGGCGACGTCTGGCAGTAAACCAGAGCCAGGGGCTTCTTTTGACTCAGGTTAGTTCTCACTGTTTTGTAAATACTCAACTTCTCCCTCACTGTCGTACCTGCATGCTTGCTGACTCACCCGTCTCTCACTGACTCACTTGTCTCTCACTGACTCACCTATCTCACTGACTTGTCTCTCACTGACTCACCCATCTCTCACTGACTCACTTGTCTCTAACTGACTCCTCTTTGATCCCCTTTGACTCACCATCTCTGTGTCACTGATCTTCTTTGGCTCACCATCTGTCTCATTGATCCTCTTTGACTCACCATCTCTGTCTCACTGACTTGTCTCTCACTGACTCACCAATCTCTCACTGACTCACTTGTCTCTAACTGACTCATCTTTGATCCCCTTTGACTCACCATCTCTGTGTCACTGATCCTCTTTGACTCACCATCTGTGGCTCACTGATCCTCTCCGGCTCACCATCTGTCTGACTGATCCTCTTTGACTCATCATCTCTGTCCCACTGATCCTCTTTGACTCATCATCTCTGCCCCACTGATCCTCTTTGGCTCACCATCTGTCTCATTGATCCTCTTTGACTCACCATCTCTGTCTCACTGACTTGTCTCTCACTGACTCACCCATCTCTCACTGACTCACTTGTCTCTAACTGACTCCTCTTTGATCCCCTTTGACTCACCATCTCTGTGTCACTGATCCTCTTTGACTCACTATCTGTGGCTCACTGATCCTCTTTGGCTCACCATCTGTCTGACTGATCCTCTTTGACTTACCATTCCTGTCTCATTGATCCTCTTTGACTCACCATCTGTCTGACTGATCCTCTTTGACTCACCATCTGTCTGACTGAACCTCTTTGACTCACCATCTGTCTGACTGATCCTCTTAGGCTCACCATCTGTGGCTCATTGACCCTCTTTGACTCGCCATCTCTGTCCAACTGATCCTCTTTGACTCACCATCTGTCTGACTGATCCTCTTTGTTTCACGGGAGCGGTCGGGTAGCCTAGTGGTTAAAGCGTTCGCTCGTCACGCCGAAGACCCGGGTTCGATTCCCGACATGGGTACAATGTGTGAAGCCCATTTCTGGTGTCTCCCGCTGTGATATTGCTGGAATATTGCTAAAAGCGGCGTAAAACCAAACTCACTCACTCACTCACTCTTTGTTTCACCATCTGTCTGACTGATCCTCTTTGACTCACCATCTGTGGCTCACTGATCCTCTTTGACTCACCATCTGTGGCTCTCTGATCCTCTTTGACTCATCATCTCTGTCCCACTGATCATCTTTGACTCACCATCGCTGTGTCACTGATCCTCTTTGACTCACCATCTCTGTGTCACTGATCCTCTTTGACTCACCATCTGTGGCTCACTGATCCTCTCCGGCTCACCATCTGTCTGACTGATCCTCTTTGACTCATCATCTCTGTCCCACTGATCCTCTTTGACTCATCATCTCTGCCCCACTGATCCTCTTTGGCTCACCATCTGTCTCATTGATCCTCTTTGACTCACCATCTCTGTCTCACTGACTTGTCTCTCACTGACTCACCCATCTCTCACTGACTCACTTGTCTCTAACTGACTCCTCTTTGATCCCCTTTGACTCACCATCTCTGTGTCACTGATCCTCTTTGACTCACTATCTGTGGCTCACTGATCCTTTTTGGCTCACCATCTGTCTGACTGATCCTCTTTGACTTACCATTCCTGTCTCATTGATCCTCTTTGACACACCATCTGTCTGACTGATCCTCTTTGACTCACCATCTGTCTCACTGATCCTCTTTGACTCACCATCTGTCTGACTGATCCTCTTAGGCTCACCATCTGTGGCTCATTGACCCTCTTTGACTCGCCATCTCTGTCCAACTGATCCTCTTTGACTTACAATCTGTCTGACTGATCCTCTTTGTTTCACCATCTGTCTGACTGATCCTCTTTGTTTCACCATCTGCCTCACTGATCCTCTTTGACTCACCATCTTTCTGACTTATCCTCTTTGACTCACCATCTGTGGCTCACTGACCCTCTTTGACTCACCATCTGTGGCCCACTGATCCTCTTTGACTCACCATCTCTCTGACTGATCCTCTTTGACTTACCATCTGTCTCACTGATCCTCTTTGACTCACCATCTGTCTCACTGATCCTCTTTGACTCACCATCTGTCTCACTGATCCTCTTTGACTCACCATCTCTCACTGATCCTCTTTGACTCACCATCTGTCTGACTGATCCTCTTTGACTCACCATATCTCTGACTGATCCTCTTTGACTCACCATCTGTCTGACTGATCCTCTTTGACTTACCATCTGTCTCACTGATCCTCTTTGACTCACCATCTGTCTCACTGATCCTCTTTGACTTACCACCGCTGTACCTGACCGCTGTCCTCCCATCCACACAGTCATTCCCTTACAGAAGACTGATCCATGCTGTCCAGTATATGATAAACATTCTCCATGTGTGTTAACAGTGATCCCCAAGGACAAGGTTGTGAAAGGAGAGAAACTCGGTGAGATCAAGGTGATGTTGGACGGCCTGAAGAAATCGGACCCTGTCCACGCTAACTATGAAAAAGACACCAGGTGAGTTTTGATGAATGTATTTTTCCAACCAGCCATGACAGATTTTTGTTTGTTTGTTTGTTGTTTAATGCCGCACTCAGCAAAATTCCAGCTATATGACGGTTGTCTGTGAATAATCAGGTCTGCACCAGACAATCCAGTGATTGATATCATGAGCATCGATCCATGCAATTGGGATACGATGACATGCATCAACTCTGTCAGCAAGTCTGACGACCAGATTCCGTTAGTCCCCACTTACGACAAGCACAGTCGCCTTTTACGACGAGTATGGGTTGATGAAGACCTATTCTCTACCATTTTCTGCACGGATCCAATGACAGAATGATCATAGTCAGATGAAAGAATCAGGTTTTCTTTAATTCTTAAAATTCTTTTCAGTCATATATCTGTGTACAAGACGAAACAGAATAAGAAATAAAAAAAAGTTTATTTATTGAAAGGGTTATGTACTTCTAGAAACAGAGGCTAAACAGAGTTCTTGTCATAATGAAGACTGTGATTTCAGGCGTATTCGAACCTGGTGTGAGATGGGAAAGAGGCGGTACTCTTTCTCCTATGAGTTTCCTGAAGATGCTGAAATTGATCCATTGTCTGTGGACGTCCCAGAAAAGGAGGTATGTGTTTTGTTTGTTTTACAACATGTGGGACAAATATTAATCCTCAAGTAATTTTGAGTACAGGATGGTTATTATATAGGAACGGAGTTCGTCTGTCTGTCCGTCCTTCCGTCTTTCCATCCGTCCGTCTGCTTCTCAAAAGAGACACACTTTCTTAAAAACTAGTTAAGGTAGAGACATGAAGTTTTACGGGCTGATTAGGGCTGCAACGAATACACTATGAGGCGAATACGATTCATATCACGAATATAGGGTAACGAATACGAATATTTCTTCACAAATACAATAACAAGTCAGCAGTTGATGTATAATTTATTATATTCAGTGAAATATAACAACATAAATTATTTGACATGGTTGGATAATTAGTAATATATTATACATTTATATACTGCATTTTACTAGTATCTGCTCAAATATGATAATGACCGGTGACCACAATACTGTCAAAATATATATATGAGTGTTGTCTTTAAAGAAATCTCTGCATATAATATGTTCTTATGGATATTTTTAGGTTCAGGGTGTGTAGATGCACATGACTGCATATTCGTAAATATTCGATTCTAGTGACCACGAATAACAAATTCAATTCATGAATGGATACGGTTCAATTCTCCGAATACGCGAGTGAATCGTAACCATGGTAACAGCCCCGAGGCTGATATTACTGGCCAGAATCATGATCATAATGATCGTAAATGAGTTCGAAAGTTGGTGTCTAAAGTTATTTTTTACTGTTCTATGGCTCTTGCGCCATGCTTTTCAACTTTTCAACATTGTCTGCAATGGGGACAACTCTTTTGAGAAAGTACTTGTGTTACATGAATATAATTTGCATGCTTGTCTAAGAGATACTTGTCAAGACTGAGTTCGAGAATTGGTGCCATGATTTATTTTTTTCAGAGACATGCTGTGATATTTATAACTGAAATACAAATGGTTGTATTACCATGGTAACCAGGGTCAAGTAGAAGATGATTATCATTTTGTAATAATGTGTAGCCACTTTAACTATTTGAGATGTAAATATATACCCCGTAAATGCTATTTGTACCCTTTGTAAGTTTAATATTTTAATGGCTTCAACTGATGTACCCTCTGTTCAAAACCCTGCTTTCTTCACTTGCAAGTCAATGCCATTGCTACAGTGCTCGACACAAACACTGGTCCGCTGGTCTGAGTCTAGTGAGTGAGTGAGTGAGTTAAGATTTATAGTCACATCGGTAATATTTCAGCCATATCGTGACTAATCTGAGTCTAGTATATTTTTAAAGGACCAGTAAAATGAAATATATGGCTGTCTTGTCTTATTTTGGGACAAAGTAATTTACGTTTGTACAATGTTTGAAATCAGCGATAGAGCACATGGACACTCGAAGCACCGTTATGTCGAGATCCAACAAGACCAGTAGATGTTTGGGGGGGGGGGGAGTATCGTTTTTTGCTGCTGGGTGGGTATGGTTTTATACTGCTTTTAGCAATGTTCCAGCAATATCACGGCGGGGGACCCCAGAAATGGGCTTCACACATTGTACCCATGAGGGGAATCAAACCCAGGTCTTCGGCGTGCCAAGCGAACGCTTTAACCACTAGGCTACCCCAATGAATAGAAAGATTATTATAACTGAAATATTCTTCAAAGTGGTGCCTCTTTATTTCCAGAGGAGTAAAGGAAAGTTCAAGATCTTCTTTAAGAAGAAAACAGACTTCCAGCTGCGAGATATTTGGACAAAGTGATGGAATTGAAGCATGACGAACAGCACAGATAAACCTGATGTCCTATTCATCTTCTACATATCATGCCATCACTCATGTCACCAGTCATGGCATGTTTTCTATGAACAAAGAAGAGCTCCTGTCGGCAAAAAAACTTTGGTCCAAATCATTTTGTTAAATAACTACTGTTATTTTTATGTGTAATTTTGTTTTCAAATGTCTCTAACTTAATTATTTCTCTAACTTGATTAATTCTCTAAAATTATTAATTATGTCTATGTTATTGTGATTTTATTGATTATTCAATCAAATTTGAGTATTTCCCATAGGCATGGTAGAATTGCATGTTGTTGCAGTAGAATTTATCAGAGATATTTAAGATAATGCAGCCATCTTCACTGATGAGAGGATCTTCATTTATGAAGCATTCAAGAATTTATTATAATCAGCTAGACTAGTCAGGATATTTATGCAATAAACTGTATTATCATACCTCCATGTCAGAATGATGAGATGTGATTGGTCTGATTGATCTTGATATAATACAATGTATCCCACCTTGGAGGGGAATAAATTTCTCAGCGGGAGAATAAATCCCTTATACCCCACCATGAGCAAGTCAGGCTGCACGTGGATTTCTGAGAGGCAGAATAAATCCCTTGTATCCCGCTTCCATGCAAAAAGTTGCATGCTTTTTCCAAGTCAATGAAAGTCACGTGAAAGCACAAGTTGACGTCAGCTCAATCGAACCGCTGTTTTCTCGTAATTTTCAATATGTTTTAATGCTTTTTACAATGTCATATTAAAACATTTTGGTAAGATAAATTCGTTATAGCAGGATCGCTCTGGGTACAATGTACATGGGGTTTTATTTGTCCCACGTTTGGTTTTATACGAGCTGGAGGCGAGCTGTATGAAACCGAACAGGGGACGCATAAAACCCCATGTACCCTGAGTGATCCTGCGACAACTTGTTCTATGTACTGTGTGTCACTGTCAGACTATACATGCTATAGGACCTCTATTATGACCATGTTTATGTGTGGAGTCACGAGGGATGTGATGCTGTAAGGCACCACCAGCTGCTGTGCTGAAGCGGTCTGTCAGCTGTTCCAGGAACCAAGGTCATGGGTTTGAATCCCAGATTGGCCCTAAATACAGTGTTCCCGTTACCGGTAATTACCAGTTTATGTCCAGTAAAATTAGGCTTGGACCTGTTATTCATGTGACTGCCGGTCCCTGTGGACTGGTAAATAAAGTCCTATTGTCTATTTTTAGTGCAAGGAAATAACATTTCGCTTTCCTTTGAGGTTAAATATCCATTTGAAGCAACTTAGTCTCAAACCAAAGTGAAATATACTGTGGAAAAAGAGAAAATAGTGACTGAACTTTGACATGTAGATCTAACTAAGTTACTTTAGGGATAACGTCCGTGAAAATGTCAGACATGAACATACAGTGCATTGAACATGATGTTGAAAGCGTTAAAACCAGGTAATTTTCAAAAGGTGTTTTTTGTGTTCAAAGTTGGGATTAACAAAATTTGGGAGAGACTAGTTTGTTTTTAGGGATGCCAGCCCACTGGGACTGGCAGTTTAAAAAGTCAGTGAGAACACTGGATTATCATGCTAGACTTGGGGGCAGTTAACCCTCACTTGTGGGCTTCATCACGTGGAAAACTTCCAAGACCTGCGGGGGCACGGGTGGCCCAGTCGTCTAAGGCGCCGCGATTCGCTGTGCAGAGTTGCGTCCCTTGGGCACGCCAGAAACCTATGATTGTGGGTTCGAATCCCGGTTCGCCCCAATTATGTTTCTAGGTTTGTCAGCACCATACCCGTGCTCGTGGGTTTCACCGAAGTGGTAAACGTCTGAGACCTGCATCACTTCGGGCTTTCCTCCCACATTAAGCTGACACGCCGTGATATAACTGGAATACTGTTAAAAGCAGCGTTAAACCCAACTCACTCACACTCCAAGACCTGCATCAACTCTGGCTTTCCTCCCATACGAGGTGACAAAATGGTGATGGAGCCAACTTGCCTTTGCACATGTTGATTCAATTGACAATGTGACAAAATATATCTTCAGATGTCAACATTTTCCCAATTAAGTTTTTGTGAATGCGTGGGTATGTCTCAAAACTAGAAGAATCAATATTTTATACTACAAAATATTTTATACTTTTGAACTGGTCCCTGCTCTGACCTTGACAGTTCAACTTCCCAGGTTATGCCTTACTGCTTATTTGTACTTGTGATAAGATCTGATTACTTTTTTGACTTGCAAATAATGTTGACCTCCATGTCAAATGCTGTTTAAACTATTGTTTACTCGAAGTGTATTTGGATCTGGCTAAAATCAAACATTTTAACAGATCCTTTAATTTTAGTTGTGATTTTATGGTGTTTTACTCTTTTAACATGTTTAAGTCTTCTTTTCATATCATTTGTCATGTGATTTGTGTAGGACTTATCTATCAACCAGTGCTACAGACTGAAGGCATCCATAGAGGCAAAACCACATCGAGAGTCCGGTCGATATACGTCCCCAGCCTAAGGCCTGTTAGAGCTGGTGAATGTGGATTGGGTGGTTGCTGCAGGTGACCTCGGTATTTGTATGTTACCCTGAAGCATGGCTTGTTTAGCACACTCTCAACCACTCGTTTGCCTGGCCCAGAATTGATTTTTTCAGGGACGAGCAGTTGGGATACTGTTGTGGCATAAAATAGTATTCACACAGGACCACTTACCTTTAGTTTGTATTTTTGGGGGCGGTCAGGTAGCCTAGTGGTTAAAGTGTTCGCTCTTCACGCCGAAGACCCGGTTTCTATTCCCGACATGGGTACAATGTGTGAAGCCCATTTCTGGTGTCCCTCGCCGTGATATTGCTGGAATATTGCTAAAAGCGGCGTAAAACCATACTCACTCACTCACTCACTAGTTTGTTTTTGTGTATTTTCTTCTCCTACCAGATTGTAGTGTCACCTTGAATGCAGTCTATGGAATGCGCTTAGTTTTTTAAGATTGATGAATAGAAGCAATCAAACTTTTTCTATGATCATAGAGATCTCTAAAAGAGTCCATTGTATCTGATGATATCCAATTTTCAACGTCTTGGTATTTGATGTTTTTGCCATGACAGCTAGTAACAGCTTTGATCAAACAAGCCCCACAGATAGTCAACTAGCCCAATCTGTACAAAGCTGATGCTTCGAAATACTTTAGCTTGTTTTTGATCTGGATTGTCAGATGTTTTGAACTTTTTTTTATATTATTGTTTTAGTCATGTTAACTCATACCTTACAATCTGAGGAGTGACATTGGTTCCTTAGTACACAGGGGAATGGAACAGAGAGGTTTGACATCCATTGCTTTCTTCCACAAAGCAGTGATCTTAGCACTAAGAGGATCGAAACTCCAATACTAAATCATGGACTTACATCAATTGTAGAGCTGAGATTGCTTCGTGGAAGGTCCTGATACTGATGTGGAAGATGTGGAAGATGTTGAATGTTGTAATTTCAATCTCTTCGAAAGCAGTCACAGATACTGTTTGAAGATGGCATATGAAATAAATCCATGCCATGGAATTTCAGGGATGATTGATTGATTGATTAAATTGTTTGTTGTTTAATGCGGCACTCAGCAATATTCCAGCTATATGATGGAGATCTGTAAATAATCGAGTCTGGACCAGACAATCCAGTGATTGACCGCATGAGCATCGATCCATGCAATTGGGATGAGATCACAAGCATTAACCAAGTCAGCCAGCCTGACCACCCAATTCTGTTAGTCGCCTCTTACGGCAAGCATACCGGTAGTCGCCTTTTACGGCAAACATGGGTTGCTGAAGATCTATTCTGTGCCTGTATCTTCACAGGTCGCTGCGGGGATGAATATTTGTTATGACCAGGTGTATGTGCTTTTGGAACACACCTTTACATATCCAGTGATTGTGCCAGTCATTTTACTTTATACCGTATATAATTTATACTGATTAAATATTGAAGGCAGTAACCTATTTTCTCAATAATAGTATGCTGATATGTTAGCAGATACATGACTGTGTATGCATGTGTGGCACCAGTGTATTCAACTCCCCAACATTCATCTTGGGTTGTATTCTCCCCAGGGAGCTGAGGATGCAGTTTGAATGCACACTAATCAGTTATTTTTGTGTAATAGTGTCCACCTTCTGTGGAGTCTTGCTCTTAATTTCTGGCCTATTATTATTATTATTATTATTATTATTATTATTCAGATTAATCAATATACATGGGAGCAGTGGGGTAGCCGAGTGGTTAAAGCATTCACTCGTCACACCGAATGCTCAGGTTCGATTCCCGACATGGGTACAATTTTGAGCCCATTTCTGGCGTCCCCCATCTTGATATTACTGACATATTGCTAAAAGCGGCATAAAACCATACTCACTCACTCACTCACTCACTCACTCACTCAATGTACATCATATATATGGACTGGCTGCAAGATGGCCAAGCAATATTTACTCACTCAGTCCTATGTTTGGAGACTCTAGTTGTCTAGAAGTATCCCTTTGGCAGATTCAACTTCCTGATCCGTGATAGTCCACTGTATGCCTTGATATGCATGATACATTTCAATTTGAACAAATGCGTTATCCTTTGTGTCATCAACATTAGCAGTGTTGCATTAAATTTTTTAATGTCTTCATTATCACAACTGCAGTGTGGCAGGACAATTTTTAAAAATAAAACGATTATGTTAAGTGTCCTTTGTTTCCATGGTTACCTTATCATAAAATATGTATCCTTGCATCCATACCTGTCAGGAAAATTCTGGGTTCAGTGTCAATTATGGAATTGAAATTTTGGTGTCGGACCATGATTTTGCAAGATTTTTTTCTCTTATGCACATCACTATGTACATGCAATAATATTGAACACAATGTTAAACCCCATTTCAGGGGCGGTAGGGTAGCCTAGTGGTTAAAGCGTTTGTTCATCACGCCGAAGACCCGAGTTCGATTCCCCGACATGGGTACAATGTGTGAAACCCATTTCTGGTGTCCCCAGCCGTGATATTGCTGGAATATTGCTAAAAGTGGCGTAAAAGCATACTCACTCACTCACTAAACCCCATTTCACCTCACCTCACCTCTAAAGTTGGTACAATGTGTGAAGCCCATTTTTGGTGTCCCCTGCTGTGATATTGTTGAAATATTGCTAAAAGCGGTGTAAAACCTTACTCACTCACTCACTAAACCCCATTTCACCTCACCTCACCTCTTAAGACAAGTTACGATATCACTGTGTGGATGAAAGGGTAAAACCATTTGTGTACCAGCCTTGAATGTAATGGTTTAGGACTCCTTTGATATTAGGTTTGTTTGAAGAACCATGGCGCTAATTTGGTTGACTACAGTATTTAGTATTATGTCCAAAGACATTTTGGTATTTTATTTGTTGGACGGGAAAGCTGAGTATTTGCTTGAGTAGTTTTGGTGTGACAGGCCACATATTATGTTATTATTGTATGATATTTGCATACTTTGTATGATGTTTGCAGGAAATAAAGGTCACTGACCTTGTTTTTGATTTGTATCATTGATAAGTTTATTTCAGGTCCATGGTACATGATGTAAAGAATACAGAAGCTGTTGCAGACGTTACTGCGATGAAATGATACTCATCTCCAGCCTCTTAATACATCATCTGACCCGTGAAGATCCGGGGTAGAATAGGTCTTCAGCAACCCATGCTTCCCGTAAAAGGCGACTTTGCTTGTCGTAAGAGGCGACTAATGGGATTGGGTGGTCAGGCTCGCTGACTTGGATCATGCATGTCTTCATATCCCAATTGCGTAGATCGATGCTCATAATGTCAATCACTGGATTTTCAGTACTTTACAACTACGCTTTCAGGCTGCATTTGAACCAAACACACAACCAGGCAGCATATTTCGGCAGGCATGAAAGTGACGAGGTATTATTCTCTGTTGAGGGGTGGTCGGGTAGCCTAGTGGTTAAAGCGTTCGCTCGTCACGCCGAAGACCCCGGTTCGAATCCCGACATGGGTACAATGTGTGAAGCCCATTTCTGGTGTCCCCCGCCGTGATATTGCTGGAATATTGCTAAAAGCGGCGTAAAACAAAACTCGCTCGCTCGCTATTCTCTGTTGAGGAATTTGGAAACAATTGGCTATCACACTGACATCAAGTATCTCCAACTGAAAGAGTAGTATAAATGATGGGGGCTCTGGACAAGACCCAGGCCCTGAAAATGCTCACGTGGGGGTCTGAAAGTGCAACATCAATGAATGTCTACATGGTGTCAACTTTAGCGATAATTCTCCGCCCTTGGCCACTGTTAAGGCAGCAGAGTTAAAGAGGGGAAGAAAGATTTTGGAAGATGATCCACGACCAGGAAGACCTTCAATTGCCACTGCAAAGCAAAATAAAAATACATAAAATACATGATATGATATGGATGATTGACGACTGATCACGTCACATAAAGAATGCATCTCTGATGAGAAACTTGAGAACATTCTGAGTAATGAACTGGACACGACAAAGGTTTCAGCTCGCTGGGTTCCAAGGCTTTGGACTCCTGATCAGAAACGCTCTAGGTTCATCATCTCGCTTTCTTTTGAAGCAGACCCATCTAATTGTTTTTAGCTATTTGTAACCTTGCATGGATGGTTAAGTCTGTCTGTTTGTTGTTTTACGGTGCACTCAGCAATATTCAAGCTATATGACGGCAATCTGTAAATAATCGAGTCTGGAAAAGAAAATCCAGTGACTGATATCATGAGCATCGATCCACGCAATTCGGATATGCATCAACCTGAGTCGGTGAACTTGATCACCTGATCCTGTTAGTCGCCCCATACGACAATCATGGGTTGCTGAAGACCTTTCCTAACCCGGATCTTCACATGTCCCTTTGTTGTCGGTTGTCAGATGCGGTTACTTTGTTGACTCAGTCTGCATATCATCGTATCTCGAGGACGTACATTGTTGCTCATGACATCAATCACTGGACCTGGATTTGATTATTGACAGGCCGCCGTCATGTAGCTGGAATACTTCTGACTATGGTTTAAACAAAAAAAAAACAACCCATAATAGTTGTAACCGTTTATTGAATGGAATGTAGCACGGCCAAAACAACAGAAGACAACCATAGAAGCTGCTGCTGTTGAACACTAATTACAAAATATTGAATCTTAAGTTACAACACCAAATAATCTTCAGTATTTCTGTCGAGGATTTTATGTAGATAATAATTCACCCAATCTCCCTGATTAAGCCTTAAGATATAAACGTGTTATTTCCCTTTGATGGCGCTAGGGGGTATCCTCCCAAAACGTAGACCTGCCAAAACGCAGACCCGTTAAAACAACACTCGTTATGGCTGGTTGCATCAGTATTTAGTACCCTGTACCCTTAAGTAAAATGGTATCACCCATGTAACAAGAAAGAAAGCTGGGTAGAGTTCACAATTTTTTATTCAAATGTTATTTCACTGTCATTTATGATTATCAGTCATTTTCACTTGTTTATCATCAGTGGACCAACTGCATCCAGGTACTGAAGGGGTGTCTTTTCACGGCGATGAAGCTGTTCCTTCTCTCTGTAGACAACCTTCCTGGGTGGCGGTGCTGCTCCAAATTGAATCTGCGCTAGTTTCGCTCTCTCCGAAATTTCTGCCTTCTGGATCAGTTCGATAAATCTGAAGATGTTTGGATGCTTGTGCTGGAGGGACTTGCCGATTCTGGAGTGGAAACCTTCTAGGTTGTTGTTTGTACGGGGCCCTTGTGTCGCATGGTATATCCACAGTCGAGGTAGGAACCGGGCATCGTCATCCACCCATGTCGTAACCTCCAGTACACATTTTCATTCTTCGTCCTGTACTTAGCATACGTGTAGCCGTCTAGGAGAACTTGTGGGGCACCTTTCTGGGACAAGACATACTCATCTTTCGTAAGTCCGGCCATAGCTTAATTGGACGAGGTTGAAGCTCATGTTCAAATATACTTATATGTTATACCATACACAAGAGAAGGAAGTATTTGGTATATTCTTACACAAATCCCACAACTTGTTTAAAGGTAATGTTTGAATAAGATTTGTGATGTACCGGGAGCAGATTAAAGAAAGGAGGAGTTTTTTTAAGACAATGTTGTTGTTGTCCACTCTGCTCATTGTCTCAACATATTGATAATCCCTCATAGCAGGGGAGTGGACCAGTCCATTCATTAATTAGGTGTGACCAGCATGGCCCAATTAATTAGTGAGCTAATTTTAACTGCTTTTTGGGAGGTCTGCATTTTGGAGGTCTACGTTATGGGAGGGAACCCGCTAGGGTAGCCTCTTGGTTCAAACCATGGCTCGTCACGCCAAAGAACCGGTTCGATTCCCCAAATGGTGATGTCCCACGCCTACATACAGCTGGAATATTGTTAAACGAGGCGTAAAATCCCACACGCTCACTCAAATACTTCAGCGTCCTCACGAACGTGCAATGTAATAGTAAATATAAAACGTCCACGTTAGAGAATAAGTCGATTTTCAGCCGAAACAGATCCCAATGGGCGTACAGAGCAAAGGAGCGCTGAAAATTATATGAATGGATCACTAAAAGTC